ATCTCTTGACCTCGTGATCCACCCGCCTCGGCCTCCCAAAGTGCTGGGATTACAGGCTTGAGCCACTGCGCCCGGCCAATTTTTTTTTTTTTTTTTTTTGAGATGGAGCCTCACTCTCTCGCCCAGGCTGGAGTGCAGTGGTGTGATCTCATCTCTCAGGTTCAAGCAATTCTCGTGCCTCAGCCTCCCTAATAGCTGAGATTATAGGTGTGCACTGGCACACCTGGCTAGTTTTTGTATTTTTAGTAAAGACTGCGTTTCACCATCTACTAAATATGGTGAAACGCCGTCTCTACTAAAAATAAAAAAATTAGACAGGATTTCACCACCTCTACTCAACATAGTGAAACCCTGTCTCTACTAAAAATACAAAAATAGCCAGGCGCAGTGGTGGGCACCTGTAATCCCAGCTGCTCGGGAGGCTGAGACAGGAGAATCTCTTGAACCTGGGGGGTGGAGGTTGCAGTGAGCCAAGTTCGTGCCCCTGCACTGCAGCCTGGGCAACAGAGAGACTCGGTCTGGAGGGGAGGGGAGAATAAATAGCTTAAGAATTTAATTTGGACATTACATTTTGCCTGCATCAGTTGGTCAGACAGATTTATGCTTCCTCTGCTAGATGTTTTAAGGTCATAAAACTGTTGCTTCCATGACACTTTTAATACTTGCTTAATTTGCGTATAAGCTAAAACCATGAGGGCTGGCTGCTGGGCTCCCCTGAAACCTTGCACACATTTTGATATGAGCTTTTGTCTTTGTTTTTCAGCCTCTGGATTCTGAGAGCTAGACAGGTGGCCATGGTGAAACCTGGAAACATATGTGTGTCTGTGTTACCTGGCCCACCAGCTGAATGGTAGAGCTGAGACTAGTATGGCCCCATCCTCCCTGGCCCAACTCTTCATCCTTGTCATGTTGGGAGGGGTTGGAACCTCCACTGTCATCTTCACAGCTTTATCCTCTGTACTGGGCTCTACACTTGGTATGTAAATCCAGGACACAGATGGCCTCTCCCTTCATAGCTGTCCTCAATGCCACATGGATACTCAGGAACAGGATGACTGGGGTTGGGAGAAGCACAAGGGATATTGGGAAAAGTACCTTTGTCCAATATCTTAAAGGCCTTGGTTAAGATGAGACTGGCTGATGAAGGGTTAGGTGAGTTTTGTGTTTTCTTTGCTTTATTATTATTATTAATTTTTTTTGAGATGAAGTTTTGCCCTTATTGCCCAGGTCGGAATGCAGTGGTGTGATCTTGGCCCACTGCAACCTCCACTTCCCAGGTTCAAGTGATTCTTCTGCTTCAGCCT